TACCGGCAATATATCAATGGTAGTCTCATGTTTTAACGGCATGATTGGGCTCAAGTCTACTCATTAGCAGTCTTGTGATTCGATAAGAATAAGTATAATTTGACATAAGCAAAAAATTGATTAAGTAATTCTTTTTTGAATAAAAAATCTCATATTTTGTATATTTATAAATCGTAAGTTATTTTTGAGTACCATCTGACCGTTTGCGAGAAAAATGCAATAAATAATATTCATACTTTTCTCGCAAACGACTAGATCTCATGCAGAAACAATTCAAGATATATAAATACACAAAATAAAAGGATTTTTTTGTCAAATAAATTACTTAATCAACTTATTGCGTAAGTCAAACTACATTTATTTCTTAAAATCATAAAACCACAAATAGTCGATATCAATGCTGTTGGTAATTCATTTTTTGTTCCATCATTTTGTGAGAAAAAATCCAAAAATCTGATGTCAAATTTCATCTAAAAAATAGTATACCAATTATTATTAATAGAGTTACAAAATTCAAAAAAATAAAAGTATGAATAGATGAAAAGGAATAATTACGTTGAATATTCGTAAAGAGGTCTTATATAAACAGAAAATTTATGCACCAGTCAATCAAAATTGCAGAGAAAGTTTTCGGATGAAAATTAGTTAGAGAAATCATTCAATATTGTTATGCGATAAAAATCATGTTGTTATATTGGTATGTAAGTATGTGAAGTGATATTCAAAACAAATTGTGTTCTATCTGCTCTCGTTATTTATACTAAACAATGAAAAAATAATCGTCGGTATCTCGCAGTACCCCAAAAAACCGCCGATATAATGCAGTACTGGAAGAAACCGGCGGTAGTTCAAGTAAATGTATCATGTGGGAAGTGCAATCATAAACTTCATTAATCTAACTTCATTTCTGTTGAGTATTATCAAAGATGTTTATTTTCAAAAGAAAACAAATGCGTGAATAAATTACATAGATAGAAATCAAATGTTTATATAATGTTTTTGAATTATTTCGGTCCACCAGGTTGAAATAGTGAATTGTTTGGATTTAGTTGTTTGGCATGATGGTCTAAATCAGCTTTAGTACCTTGACCGATATAACTAGCCTGATAACCTTGGTATTCGGGATGATTAGGATTACATTGATTTGCATGATTATCCCTTGCTGCTTTTGCAGCAACAATTGATGGTGATGCTGACAATGTTTGTTTGGGTGGCATATTAATAACAATCTATTTAATAGAATATAGACAAAATTTTTAAGTAATTTATATTTACTTGTTTAGGTTTGATTTGAGTAGTGAAACAGAAATGAATATTAAAAAAGAAACTTTCGTTAACGCACTATATTTATAGCACAAATGATCTATTTTCTTTTGTCTACTATCATAATAAAATGTTTCGACCATTGATCTTCTTCGTCACAATTGTTTTCTCTCGTCTATATACATGATGACTGGACAGAATAACAAAATGGTGATAGAACTCGAATAAGTCATCGAGTATACGCAGATGGATATTTAATTTCATTATTGCATATGTTCGAATTGAGT